ATTGTATTGTATTGTATTGTATTGTATTGTATTGTATTGTATTGTATCGTATCATATTTTATTGTACTTTCTTGCTCTGTATTGTGTTGTATTTGTATTGTATTGCATTGTATTGCAATGATCAGAATGGAACTATCAAGGTCTGTAATTCTCACAAGATTTTATCTCTTGACCTTATAAAACAAATAAATTAGAACGTTGATTAAAAATTTGATCAAACACATACTGCATTCTTCATTAGGAGTATTTTCTATGTATTTTGAAAGAAGTTACTGTGCGCAGTTATTTAAACACTTTTTCCTAAACAGTAAAGATCCAAATAACTACTTCAATGGATGAATCGTGACTGTATGTTTAAAAAAAAAAAACATTTCAAATTCTAATAAATCATATCTGTCAGAGAGAGTTGCACAATATCTGTCCTCACTACACGACACATATAACTATAGGAGTAGTCTTAGACCAGTCCTAATCTTAAACAAACTAACCATGCCCTAGCTGTAATTAAACCCGACCCTCTAACTCAAACTCAAATTGGAAATGACACACAATGTGATTAACCCGCTCAAGCAGAACTAACGATGCGTGTTCCAATATAAAACCCCCCTTCATCGCTAACAACTGAATCCACCTTCAGGCAAATCTCTGCCCAACATGTGGAAGTTTCAGCGTGCACGGTTCCCCTCATGCACCATTTTCAAAAAGTCAGAATCAATCAAAGAACTAAGGGCGAAATGGAAACCCAGTAAAAATGCAGTAAATGTAAAAAATTCACACAGAATGTATAGAGAAATGTAACAATATAAACAAACTCACATTAAGTCATCCCCATTTTTTATCTAACAACAATATCCAAATATTACCTTGACCAGCTCCCCAGTCCATCACATGGCCACACAGAAACAAACAACTTCAATCCTACGGTTGAATATGCATACAGCAGGAGAATCAGACTACCTCGAAGGAACCCATGTGTACGAAGGGAGAAAAGGGAGGGAGGAAGAACTTTGCTTGTATTTGACCTAGTAACTCTCAGGCTTTAAGGGGACGGTGCTAAACACGAGGCTGTGCAGCCCAGCGTAAAGAGAGCTCCTCATTAGGTTCGTATCAGACTCACCAGAGGTTACTGCAGACAACATATGGCTGTGAAAGCATAAATAAGCTGAAAAATGCATTTGACCCGCAGCGCAGTGTGGTGCACAGACGGAAGGAGAGGGGCAATCCTCAGCGCTGTCTGACCACATATGGGGACATATCGGTGGAAAATCAGCGTGTATGTTGCTCAATTTACACTCATTACCACTATGCATGTGTGGGTATGGGTGTGAATATAAGCACCTCCATTCAGATGTGGCTAAAACCAAGCAGGGGCCACATGGGAAGGCGGGCTATTTTAAGGCATTTAAACAGCTGAGTGCAGCCACTGTAGACGTCACCAAATAAATCATTCTTAGATTTCAGCGCGTTTATTCGCTGACCTTGCGGTTTATTTCAACTGACCCTTTAACGGGATCCAAAAAGAAATGATTGTTAGAAAGCAATTTGAAAGTCATCCCAAGCCTCTTTTTTCATATAGCTGACAGACTTTGATGTGTACTCTGTGTGGGGGGTTGAATTGAGGGTCTCCACAGTGAATTAAAGAGCTCGGCACTGGTGAAAAAATTAGCCTGGAGCTGTGAAAGTGAGATGGACTAAAATAGCCCTGTCAAAAATGGGGGAGGCATGTTGCTCCAGTCCCAGTGGAAAATACTCCCTTGCAGCCATTATATACAATTTTCTGTAAAACAAACGCTCTGTGCTGTCATCGACAGAAGCTTCACTTAAGCCCTAATCACTGCATTCGTTTTTGATTCGGAGAAACACAGTCAAACTTAACAGGAAAACTGTATCAAGTGAACTAATGTGGCATCATATCACCAGCCTACATACTGTTTTGGCCCCATTTAACACGATTCTCTGAAACAGCACAGCCTCAGTTAACAGACTATTGGTCATCACAGTGGATTACAGACGGCTGCTGGTCAGTTAGGACAAAACCTCAATCCAAACGTTATATCTTAATTAAAAGGAGGGACGGGATTTCTAACTGCAGTGCCACAATCTTATCCTAAAATAAAATAATGTTAAGACTAAAACTTATCAGTATAGTGTTTTTTTAATTAGGCAATGACCAAATACATGTTTTAGAATTTGCTAATAGGGACAAACTGACGATTGGCTCACCATAAAGGAAATGATTAAAGAACTAAAAGGAGTAATTAGTTCTAATGAGAGCATTTGAACTAAATATTTATGTCCAGCTAGGCAAAGCCGTGGTGTCACTGATTTTCGGACTGTTTTTTGTCGACTGTATGTGTGTGCTGGTTAACCATTTGTGAAGATAATAAAGACATTTTATAGGCCTATAAGAATACATGACGCTTGAATACAAACTAAAAGCAATAAAAAATAATGCTGATAAGATTAATGTTCATTTTTCAAAAGATATCTTTACTTCTACAGTTATTTCTGTCTTCTTGCTTACTTTCTTTTCTTTTTTCCTTGCAAAATACATTAAATATCCACAAAATGTAATTGCAATGACCTGATATTTTTATAATCTATCGTTACTCTTTTCATCCTGATGGCTGCTATTGCTTTGAGAGAGACTTCCCCAGCCTGCCAAGTCTAAATAATGAATGAAATTGGTTTATGTCACGACCTGCCACCATTGACAGCTTACTAGCTGTTATATTAGACACGTAAACACTAAACAGTGATTTCCTTAAGTGACTGTACAGGAGAAAATTATTCAGATTTGGTTTTCTTAACCAAACAGCTTCAGTCTGTGTTAGAAAAGAACTTTCTGCAGGATGAATGAAGGAGTTTGAGAGGCTCCAGTTGAGCTGATGGGCGGAACTGCTCCTGGAACAGGTTACATAGAGTAAACTTGCCCTCTTGCACATCGCAGGGTTTTATTACGGAACAGGATCTGGATTATTTTTGTTTGGATCAGTTAGGGCTACATCCGCAGGAAACGAGCACAAACGGCCAGACTACAGATGTACCGTTGCCATGGAGACGGTGGAGGTGATACAGATAATGATGATAATAAAAAGAGAGAAATAACGAAAGCCTGTTTTTGTTTAGTGTTTGCAATGGACGGGTTCTTCTTCCATTGTGCGTATCCGTGTCCCGTTGAGGCGTGAGGCCGCGGGCCTGCAGCCTCACACCGCCTGGAACATTTTTTCTTCAACACCTTCCAGTTTCTTCCACCCCCCCGGCTGATTCCCCCCCCCCCCCTCGTGACACCGGAGCAAACCAGCCACCCGGATCCTCCACACTTGGGCTCACACTCCCATCTAGACGTGTCTTTTCCCCTTCCCCTCTCCCTGCTGATGGCTGTCTTAATTAATCACCGATTTCGCCTTGCACTGTTATGTAACTATCCACCCCCCCCCCCCCC